TAGATGAAACCTTAACCAAAAAACCAAACCCACTGCCATCAAGACAATTCTGACTCATAGTGACCCTCGCTGGGTTTCCAAAGTGGTAAATCTTTACGGAAGTAGATTGCCCCATCTCCCTTCTGTGGAGTGGCTAGTGGGTTTGAAGCTCTAACCCGCCAGTCAGCAGCCAAATGCCTTAGGCACTTGCACCACCAGAGGTCTTAGATTAAACCTTAAGTCCCATCTTCACTGACTAGAGAGAGAACGGTGCAAAACTCAGCACTGAACTGCAGTCACCAACGTTTTGACAGCTGGGCTTGTTTATGAAGTTGCCACATGGAGGCGGCCATGTGCTGAGAACGAAATTCTGAAATTAGGTCTCAGTGGTATCTTGAACTTGGGAGAACTGCAGGAAGCTCAGGGGCCACCGACACTTTCAGAGCACAATTGTATGTCATCGTCCCAACCCTATGAGGTCTGACTATTCTCATCCCCATTGCACAAATGAGGAAGTGAGACCCACGGCTCATCAGTAACTGAGCAGGGTCCAGACCTAAGTCTCTTGGCCACATAGACCTCACTCTTAACCACCACCCTTTCGGTCTTCCTGAATGAAACAGTCTCTAAGTCCTTTGCCATCAACAGTCAATGGTTTCCCAGATGTACTGGATCCATAGACCAGAGGAAACCCAAGTCTAATGCCTGGAAATAACTTTTAAACCTTGAACCAAAACTATCCCAGGAAGCCATCTAAACTAAACACTTTAGCCCAATTACTAAAGAACATTTTCCTTAAGCATTGCACTCGTATAAAGAATTATCCCCATGCTTTTAAACAGAGAGCAGTTCGTCTAAACCACAGCTGACAACTTTAAGGGGCAGAGAGCCCAAAGGAACGGGGATGAAACATTATAGACTGAGACAGAACAGTGACACAATGCGAAATACATAGCCTATGGTAGTGAAGCATCATGTGGAAATTGTGAATGGATGGATGTTTGATTATTTGATGTTTGATTGTTATGGATTGAGTTGTGTTCCCAAAAGATATATGTAAATTTGACCCTCTAGAGTGCTTATTCTATGCTCTAGAGTGGGTATAAGGGGCTCTGGTGGTACAGTGCCTAAGGCATTTGACTGCTGACCAGAAGGCTGGTAGTTCAATCCCACCAGCCACTCCTCGGCAGGAAGACAAAGCAATTGACTCCCGTAAAGATTTACCACCTTGGAAATCCAATGGGGGTCGCTATGAGTCAGAACTGACTCAATGGCAGTGGGTTTAGTTTTTAGAGTGGTTATAATCCTATTTGGGGACAGGTTTTCTTTGTTGGGTTAATGAGGCAGTATTGGTGTGGGGTGTGCCTTAAGTCAATCCTTTTTGAAATCTAAGAGCAAAACCAGCAAGTGCAGTTGCAGGCGATCAGACGCCACACCACATGAGATCTCCACGGAGCCAAGAAACAGAAGCTGAAAGGAGACAAAGACCTTCCCCCAAAGCCCAGAGAGAGAGAAAACTTTCCCCTAGAGCCAGCACCCTAAGTTCAGTGTGAGAAAACAAATTGGTTAAAGCCGTCCACTGTTACAGAGTACTAGATAACTAAGACGACTGTGTATATTGTCGTCCAAAATAAGTAAAGTTCTGTCTGGGGGAAGAGAAAGAAAAACGTCTATGGTTCCCACACTCCTAGCTCTGATCTCTCCACTGCTGCTGCATTCTCAGCTTTGGACCCCACCATGACCCGAGTTCTGGGTTGGACACCCCCCCCCCATGGCTTTTGCAGCCAGTAAGCTCCTCAGGCACTTGACCCTGAGATAGATGGGGAGCAGTAGGTTGGAGAAGGGCTAAGAAGAGAGAGGCCTCAGCCAATGGGGATGGGAGCCGTGTCATGGGGGCCACAGTCCATTCTTTCAGTTCATGGCTTTCAGTGCTAAGTTGGCCACCTGGTGACAAAGTAGCTCTCCATCTTCCAGACCCACCTCCCTTCTAGTGAGATTCCCCTTCCACCGCATTAATGAGCTAGGACTGACTGTCCACTGCTCTGCCCAGACCCTCCCTGCAGCACTCGTTCCCCCCGCTGCTGGGAAGGCAGCCGGGGCAGGTCCCCAGCACCAGCCCCCACAGGGAATCGCCTGGAATGAAGAGAGCTGGCTTGCCAGGGCAGCACAGGCACAGTGACTGCCTGACACGAGGCCCAAAGCCCTGTCCCCTTGCCCCAGCTCAGGACAATTCTGAACAGCCACCCTTGCCTCCAAGCTCCTGGGGGTCGGCTGCCCCTTAGGATCACACTGCAGCCCAACTCCTCCCTGCTTCCCCTGCTCCCTACCACAGGTGTTAATCCCCCACCTGCTCTCAACACCTTAAGGAAGCCAACCTACAGAACCTATAGAACTATCTCTTCCCTTCTCACCTGAGAAGCTCCTGTGATGGTTAATTTTATCAACTTGGCTAGACTCTGGTTCCCAGTGGTTTGGTCAAACACTAGTCTAGTCCTGTGCCATAATGTAATCTAACTAATATAATTGAAACCCAGTAAAGTAAAAACTATTTCCCCCATTAGATAAGACCCTGGATGGGAAGAGATAAGTAAACTAAATTACCCTCAACTATTTCCCCCACCCTAAAAGACTAAATAACCCTCAACTATTTCCCCCACCCTGGTTAAGGCAGATAATTAGATAAAACCTGGATGGGAATAGATAATGTAAACTAAATTACCCTCAACTAGTTCCCCACCTCAGGATGAGTATTCAGTCCCTTAAAGAATTGAATGGAAGGAAAACATTCTTTCCTGCAGGTGATAGACCACTAGAAGTGTCTTAGAAAACAACTTGTAAGTTAACTCTGGCCTGCAGACATGTGCAGTAGGGCAGAAAGGAACAGAAGTTAAGGGGAACACACTCTCCCCTCTGCCCAAGCCCCTATCAGCTGATGACAGAAAGCTGGTGTGACTCATCCGCCTCCAGGCACAATTGTCAACCATTTCACGCCCCAAATTCCTCAACCTTTTGTGAATCTGCATAACCCCCTCTTCTGAAACCTACAAAACTGTATTTCGATGGCATCTCGGGGAGTCAGATCTGGGTACAGAATATCTCGGGGAGTCAGATCTGGGTACAGAATATCCCCACTCCTTGCATTGCCGCTTTGCAATAAATAATTTTCTCTCCTTTTAATCACTCGGTGTGGAAACTGTTTCAGTCTGACTGTGCACCGGGCAGGGACCCGCATTTGGTCCTATAACATAATCACCTCCCGTGATGTAATGTAATGAAGCAATCAATTTAAAGCGGCATTCCTTAGTGTGTCCCACCTCCAGACTGTAAACTTCTATTCTGGCAGAACTAGCTCTCTTCCCCGACCCTGCACTCTCCCCATTGCTTGACCTACGTATCTCATGATGCAAGCCTGCAGAAACCTCTAGCCTCCTATCTACTCTGTGGTTTCTGGACTTGTCAGCCCTACAATCCAGTGAGCCAGTTCTTGAAGTAAAGCACACCCTCCCACATGTGATACCCTCTCCCTCTCCCTCTCTCTCTCTCTCTCTATATATACAGTCATGCATCCCTTAATGTCCACAGTATGTTCCATGGGACATTACATGATTTGGACATTGTGTGAACACTACATCCTAGTCTAGTCCTGCTTTTTCTTTAAGCATCTCGAACAAGCTTCACGCCTCAGCAGTGATCCTCAGCATGGTTAAGAGGGATTTTTGTTTGGTCTTCAATCCACACCGTCAGTAATTTCTCTATATCTGATATAGGTCCTTCTCATTTTCATTAGTCTTACAGCTCTCAGTGACGCCAACCCAAGCTTGGAGGATTTTTCCTCTGTTTGTGAGGATTGTCCTGACTGTCGAGTGGGACGTGCCTGCATCACGAACAATCGCATTCCCTGATGTTCCACCTTCGTGCTGTTTCATCATCTTCTGTTTCGTTTATTCTCCTTTGCCTCTTGCTGGGGCTGTCGCTTGCACCGATTCTGGCAGTATCTGGGAACCATGATGCACTTCACGGTAATATTTTTTTAAGAAAATTAAACAGAGAGATAACACCACAACTCTAGGTGTGTGATCCTCGAGATTGGATGCTGCTGCCCAAGTCAAAGCATACTGCGGTTACATGGTAAACATATACGGTACATACAAAGCCAGTAACGTGGGTATTTATTATGACTATCAGGACATGTGTGTTAAAGGTTATATGTGCACTGTACTGTTATATACCTGGCTGCGCAACCACTTTGTATACGAGAGACACGAGATACGGGTGTTGTGTGCATTCACTATGTCCTGTTCTCTGATTGGGATTTCTGAACTCTGTTGTAACCTTATGGGACCACAGACGTATGTGTGGCTCGATGCTGCCCGAACAGACATCACGTATCGCATGACTGCACGTACATAGACACAGAGCCAGACATACACCTGGGTCTGTTTCTCTACAGAAACAGAGAGGCCAGTGGGAGCTTACACAGGACCCACTCTCAACCCAGCCCGTTTGCAGGACTCAGAGCTCCTCCTGGGTCCCAGGCAGGGCTCTCTCCAAGCTGGGGGGCTAACGCAGGGAGCTACTAGCTTGCCATCTGAGGGCTTAGGGTAACGCTTTCCCACCTTCTGGAGACAAGAAGTGAACAAGCAGGGCATCCCGGGATAAAGGGAGACAGCCTTTAATCAGAGACCTCAGGTTTGGGTGTGCGATGGCAGGCAGCACAGTTGCAGGGAACCCCCCAGCCCCATCTGACCCTCCCCCTGAAGAGAGCTCAGTAGCCCTCAGCTTTTCTCCCAAGACCACACCAACCATGGTCCATGGAGGGTACTGACCGTGGAGAACACCGTTTGCTCCATTCCCATGCCATGCTCAAAACACTCAGTCTACGTCTGGCCCAGGTGGGCTATTCTGTTTCCACAAGAGCCCTGTGGGAATGAGCTCTGGCATCTTCAGCCAGGTCTGCCCCATGCCTGCCGGGCCACTGGCAGAGTTTTCTCCGTCCAGGGTCTCCCAGGAGTGAGATCTGCTTACACAGTGGACTCCTCCTTCCTTGAGGTTGTGGGCTTCTGGGGCGTGCGGCCAGCAGTGGCTGCAAGGGCCGCAGAGAGTCTGGAGGTGGTGGGCGAGAGTCTGCGAGGCCTGACGAACGTCATGGGGGTCTCTGAGGGGCTGGGGGCGCTCGTGGAAAGTGCTGATGCTTCAGCCAGGGTGCTGGCAGGCAGGGAAGGCCACCGGGATGTCCCCCAGGCCTCGGAGGCTGGGAAGGCAGGCTCAGCAGGAACTGGAGGTGGCCAAGGAACCCCCGGGGAGGCAGGAGGTAGAGTGGAGGCTCCCAGAGGGATGGAGGGCCTCAAGGAGGGCCGAGGGGACTGCAAAGCCCCAGGCTCCCCTGCGGATGTGTCCCCTGGCCCTGAAGGGGGTGAGAGCAAGGCCTGGGCTCCTGAGTGGCTGGAGGGTAAAGTCCGTGTGTTCGACAAGTTCGTCCTTGAGAGGAGCTGGAAGAGCGGGAGCACTGGCCTCTGAGATGATTCTGTTGGGGGCCCCGGGCACGCGCTGCAGTTGCCAGCACCCAGAGGGGCCTTCACGTTCTCTTCGGGGCTCCGGGCAGCTTTGCTAAACTCCACGTGTCCGTGAGGGAGGATCCTCCGTCTTTCCTTCAGAGGCAACGGGAACTCTAGAGTGTGGAGAGAGGCATGGGAAGAGAGGTGCACAGTGGTTGTCCTGGGGCTGAGGGGGCCCTGGACAAGCTGCACTGGGACAGATGCCTAGCTCCATCCTCGGAGGGACCTCAGCACACCTGGTGGGCACAGGACAGCTCCTGCCTTCAGGGAGAGAAGACCAAAGGAACCATGAACAGAGGGAGGCCCTGCTGGCTATGCACTATGTGACCTTGGGCAAGTTACATAACTCCTCTGAGCCTGTTTTCCTCATCTGTAAAATCGGCATAAAAATAATGACTACACAGGGCTGTGGTGAGGCACTAATGGGAGTGGAATGATGCTTGCTGTGTGACCTTGAGCAGGCCCCGTTCCCTCTCTGAGCCTGTTTTTCTCACTCCAGACCTTCTGAAAGTTGTTTCTGGGAAGAAGAACAAAATGGAAGATGGTGGTAAAACCCAAGGATCCCGGGGCCCATTTACCTGGGCAGGAGGAACAGCAGTCCCCAGGGGGCACCGGGGGATCTGCACAGTCCCGATGGCAGGGGACCTTCTCACAGCTCACCTCTCCCAGCTGGGGAAGCAGAAGGACACGTAGAAACACATGCATAAGGACCTGCTCAGACCAGCAACAGGAGCCCCAGACAGAGCCCAGGACAGCCTGCCTCAGCCCCTGCCTGAACCTCAGGGGAAGCCAAACACAGCAGGGCCACTTAAGGAAACCACTCGTCTGAAATTTGGACTTCCAGAAAAAGGGAGAATATTGTCAAAACCAAAGATATTCCAGCAGGTAACTTAAGGTGAAGAACGGCTAGAGAGGGCAGGTTCACAGTGACTCATGGGCTTGGCTGCTGAGAGGGTGGAGGTCTGAGTTCACCCACAAGTCCCTTGGAAGAAAGGCCTGGCAATCTAGTTTAAAAAAAAAAAAATCACTCGCCAAAAGCCCCATGGGGCACAGGGCTACTCTGACACACATGGGGTCTGCATGAGTCCGTCCACTCGACGGCAACTGGCTTGTTTTTTTTTTAAAGTGCATCCATGTTTTGCAGAGGGACAAAAGGCAAAAAGCGGCTACCTCCCAGCCAGCTCACCTGGCAGGTGCACCGGGTGCAGGGCTCATCATCCAAGGTGAACACCTGGCCATTCGCCACCTTTCTTCCCTCGTAGTTGCAGTCTGCGGAGGCAGAGGAGACAGGGCTTGTGAGAAGCAGCCCACCCGGGAGCCCAGGGCGTGGGGCAGCCATCCCACTCACCTTGGCACACCGGGCAACACTCCCCATCAGGGTGGAAAGGATAGGTGCAGGTGATGGGGCAGTCCACGGGCGAGCAGGCCACTGAGCCCAACTGCAGGACACAGAAAACACACAGACCCTTCGCTCTGGGCGGCTGATGGGACGCTCAGGAAGACACGGGTCATGAAGCCATTGAGTGGCCATCAGAGCCACCAAGGTTTGTAGCCACCCCCTACAAGGTGCCAGCCACAGAGCTCATCTGCAACAGACACCGGGTCAACCAGTCCACAAACTGCCCAGGAAAGGTGAGCAGTAAGGACAGGAGAGAAGGAAGGAGCCAGATTCTGAAGCTCCCAACGCATGTGGCCATGAATGAGAAGTGCACACCCACAGGGGTCACCCCAGAGGCCAAGGGGATGTGGACTTTGCGTTTCTCAATCTTTCTGTAGACCTTGTCCCTTTTCACGCCCTCACCCTGCAGAGGTTTACCACAGCAGATGGCCACTCTGCACCTGCACCCACTGCCAGCAAAGAAGCTCCGTCAAGCATTGAACACTTTTAGCAATAATGGTCTTGTTTTACCACATTTCCCAAACACTGGGTTATATTATTCCCCAACATGCTTTTTCAGACTGAGGCAGGATGGCTTAGGGGTAAAGGGGGAGCCCCCAGAGTCAAGACTCTTTTGGAACGTCAACTAGTTGCAGGATCTTGTGTGGAATTCCAGGCAGCATAAACAGTTAAGTGCTCGACTACCAGCCGAAAGGTTGGTGGTTGGAATCTACCCAGAGACACCTCAGAAACACATCTGGCGATCTGCTTTGGAGAAGTCCCAGCCTTGGAAACCCCGTGGAGCAGTTCAGCTCTGCACACACGGAGTTGTCACGAGTCAGACTCGACTCGACAGCAACCCACAATAACATCTTCAGCAAATTCTTTCATCTTTCTGTGCCTCAAGTTTTCTTATCTGGAAGCTGGAGATGATGGTGGTACTGACCTGAGGGTATTTTTGTGTGCTTAACCGGGTTAATATGAAGGGCTGAGAGCAGTGATGGGCACAAGAGCTCAGTACTGAGTCTATGGAAGAGATTTTGATACAGACCAGAATATCAAATTTTCATGGAATCCAGACCTTCTGGAGCCATGGAAGCTGGATGAAGCCCTGAAACTACAGTCCTGAGATAATCTTTAAACCTTAAGCCCAAAATATCCCCTAAAGTCTTCTTTAAACCAAATAACGGTTTAGCTTAACTCAAAGAATGTCTCTGCCTTGGGCCCTGTGCTCTTTCAAAGGACTATCTACCATACACAGGATCAAAATGACAAGGGCAACTCAAAAGGTTAGATGGGAAACTCAAGGGGCAGTGAGTTTATGTGCATGGGGGAGGAACAACTCAGAAAAGGAGGGTGAGACTGGCCACACAACTTGAAGGATGCAGTCAATGCAGAAACTGTTGCATCGGTCTAAGTTCTGCTGTGTATATACTCATCGACAACAAAGAATAAAAGAAATTTTTTAAAGAAGATTCTGATACAGACCCCGGGCTATTGTTCTCCCCTCCACCCTCAGTGACATTCCTGGGGCCACACTCTATACTCTGAGGAGCTCCTTCATGACTCTCCGTGGTAACCAAGCAGACTTTTGCCAGCCAGCATTACAGATATTTATCTGGCCCTGGCTACCAATCTGCCCTGGACACGGCTGGATGGAGTGGGCTTTCACCATGATCCAGAAGCAAGCCTGCTCTGAGGTCTCTAATGCAGCCTCTAGGAGCTCTGGTAGCAGAGTGCCTAAGGCACTTGACTGCTAACCAGAAGGCTGGCGGTTCAAACCCACCAACCACTCCTCGAAAGGAAGGTTGGGCACTCTACTTCCGTAGTGATACTGCTTCCAAAACCCAAGGAGGGGTCGCTACGAGTCGGGTCCGACTCAACAGCACATAACAACAATACAGCGTCTGGGGCTCAGGAGTGGATGCCGGTCCCCTGGGGGTTTCTGCAGACAGGATCGGGGCTGGTTGTCCATACCAGGCAGATGCAGCTCAGACAGGGGTCCAGCACAGACGGGAAGGTCTCATTGTTGTAGAAGATTCTGCCTGTGTAGGTGCAGCCTGCCAGGGAGAACACGCGGTGAGCACCAGCCAGGGGGGTGACGGACGGCCAGGCTCCTCGCTAGGGCAAAGGTCCAAGGCTTATCTGGAGAGCAAAGATCAAGCCATGTCTCCCCAGAGCAGTCGCCCCAGGGCGAGGGAAGTGACAAAGCACACATCTGAACTGGGAATTGGGTGCCTACTGTTTTTTGCACCAAATTCAGCAAAGGGATCAAGCAGACATGGAAGAAACTAGAGATGATGTCTTCTCCTGGCCTTCCGGGTTCTTGCCCCAGTGAGGGGTGGGGCTTCCTCCTCCACCCCTCTCCAGGTGGGACCATGTAGGGGGCCCGGGAAACTGCACCTGTGTGCATCACACCATCTTCCCAGCATCCTCTCTGCTCCTCCCCACTCAGCCAAACCCTGCTAGAGCTCAAGGCTCACCTCACACCCCACCCTGTCCGCACGTTCCCATGCCAGTCCACTCTCTGCTTCTTGATGCCCCAGACACCCAACTCCACACTACCTTGATCATACTGATCACCTACTGCTCTTGTGGTGTAGTGGTTAAGGCATTTGGTTGCTAACTAAAAGGTCTCTGGTTCAAACCTAATAGCTGCTCCATGGGAAAAAGATGAGGCAGTCTACTTGTGTAAAGATTTACAGCCTTGGAAACCCAATGGGGGTCACTATGAGTTTTAATCAACTTGGCAGCAGTGCGTTTGATTTTCGGTTTGGTTCAGTACAAAAAGAGCCCCAGGGCACAGAGTGGTTAGAGCTTAGTGGCTAAATGAAAGGTCAGTGGTTCAAATCCACCAGTTGCTCTGCGGGAGAAAGATGTCGCATTCTGATTCTGTAAAGATTACAGATTTCAAAGTCCTTTGAGGCAGTTCTACTCTGTCCCATAGGGTTGCTGAGTTGGAATCAACTTGACAGAAATGGGTTTGTTTGGTTTTGGGGTTCAACACGAAGGATTCCGGGTGGAGCAAGCTGTGTTGAGCTTTACTGCTAACTGAAAGGTTGCTGGTTTGAACCCACCCAGCAGTGGCACAGAACAAAGCCCTGGGAATGTGCTTTCATAAAGATTACAGCCAAGAATACCCCACAGAGCTTTCTCCTATACCGTAACTCACGGGACTGCCAGGGGCCAATCTGACAGCAATGGGCTTGGCTTGGTTTTTTGGTTCATACAGTAGCAGATGATGAAACAATAGGGAAGTATTTTATTACGCCTAAGGCATTTGACTGGGAGCTCTGGTAGCATAGTGTCTAAGGCACTTGACTGCTAACCAGACGGCTGTCGGTTCAAACCCACCAGCCACTCCTTGGAAGGAAGGTTGGGCAATCTACTTCTGTAGTAATACTGCCTCAGAAACCCAAGGAGGGGTCGCTATGAGTCGGGGACGACTCGACGGCAAATAACAACAAAACAACAACAAGGCACTTGACTGCTAACTAGAAGGCTGGCAGTTCAAACCCACTAGCCACTCCTCAGAAGGAAGACTGGGCAATCTACTTCCGTAGTGATACTGCCTTGGAAACCCAAGGAGGGGTCGCTATGAGTCAGAATTGAGTCAACAGCAGTGAGTTTGCTTGTTTTTTGTTTGTTTATTTACATGTTGAGTGCCTGGGTAGTGCAAACAGTCACTGCCCTTAGCTGCTCATCAAAAGGTTGGTGGTTCAAGTCCACTGAGAGGTACCCTGGAAGAAAGGCCTGGATATCCAGTCCCACAAAACCAACCAGTGAAAGCTCTGTGGGGCACTGACACACACAGGGTCCCAAGAGTCAGAAGTGACTGGAGGGTAAATGGGTTTTCTCATATGTTGGCTGCATGCAATCTATGCACAGGTATCATATTCAGAGGCTACAGTGACACACCAACCAACTCACTGCTGCCGAGTCAGATCCGACATAACAACAGTGATATGTTAACAGTGGTAAGAAGCCCTTTTTAATTGTTTTTCTTTTGGCTTTCTGTATTTTCTAAATTTTCTACCATAAAATATGTTACTTTAGAAATAGGGGAAAAGTGAATAATCACTTAAAAAACAAAGGATCATTTTGTTGCTTCTACTTGTCTCACACATATCAGTCTCTCATCTCTCCAGCCAGGCTGCAGGCTCTGCCTATCTTGTGACCTGCTGACAGCACCCAGCCAGGGCTGACCTGGGGCAAACGGCTTTACCTCTCTGAGTGTTTCCTCATCTGTAAAAGGGGCTTGGACCTTTGACAGAGTTGTTGGGAGGATGAGATGACGCTTGTCTGGTGCTTAGCACAGAGGAGCCTGGTGCAGCTGAGCCTGGATAGGGGTTCCCCTAGACCCCTGCCATGGGGCGGGGCTGTGCAGCCCCCCACTGGGGAATTACCTGCTGAACAGTCTGGGCAGCACTGTCCGGGGATCCGAATCGGGTTAGGGCAGGAGTCCACGCAGTCTGTCCTCTTGCAGCTCACTGAGCCGTCTGCCTGAAGGGAGGAGGAACTTCACCAAGATCCCACCTGTGACACCAGGCGCTGCTGTCCCCCCAGACCACCCTCCAGCCTCCCAAAAGGCCATGCTGCAAACCAGCCAAGGCTTGCCCTAAAGGGTACCATGACGTAGCTGGGAAGTGGCGATAGCCCCCGCAAAGAGGACCAGCTATGGGGGAAAAGTGGTGTGACCCTTCCAGAAAGGCTTGTGTGTCTAAGAAGAGTCAACAGCCTAGGGGGCCAGAGCTGGGGCTCTAGTCTCCACAACTTCCCGTCCCACTTGAGCAGCAACCAAAGGCAAGAACACAACAGGCTGCACCATCAGCCTCCAAATTGTCTCAGCTTCTACCTGGAGGCCTGGTTCACCCCAAACCTAAAGAGTGACACAAAATCCTATTTATATAGAAAACTACTCCACTAGAAATGTGTTTCAGGAGACAAAAGTGCCATCCATGCAAGGTTGCTGTTAATGAATGTAAACATGTATGAACCTTTGGTGTTACTTTCTTAGACTCTGAGGGCCCTAAATCAGACACAGAGGGAAAACAGGCATCAGGATGTACTTTCCCGCAAGTCTCATTCCAACCAGACACGCTAAAGCGCTATTAGAGTCTGAGGTTTATCGACAACTGGCACATCAGAGGGACCTGAAGGCCGAGCTGCCCACACACTGATGTGCACACAAACCACCTGGGGACGGAGACACAGGTTCTGAGTCCCAGGTCCCAGCAGGGACTTGAGATCCTGCAAGTCTAACAAGTGCCTAGGTGTGGCCCATGCTGCTGGCCCAGGGACCACACAAAGCTCTAAAGGACTTAAAGGAGACCTAGTTACGCAACGGTTAAGCACTCAGCTGCAGACTGAAAGGTTGCCAGTTTGAACCCACCTACCCAGTCTGTGGGAGAAAGACCCGGCAATCAGCTTCCGTAAGGATTACAGCCTAGAGAGCCCTGTGGGGCAGTTCTAGTTTGCCACATGGGATGCTGTGAGCTGAAAATCAATTCGATGGCACCCAATAACAACAAAGGACTTAAACAGCTAAAGCAACTGTTTCCTGGGAGAGAGCTGTGTTTGCATTTCTGCCAGTCTGACTCTAAAACTTGCATAACTTCCACTTAACCATTTCTGATAAGGTGAAGTCCCGTGACTCGTGTTCATGATGCAAAACTACACTTTCGTAGCAACAGCCTGAACAACTGGGCCATGGGCTGTCCCAGCCCCTCAGCTATCCATGCCCAGGAAAATGGTCTATTAGGATCCTACCAACTCCTTAGGCAAAGCAACTCTGGTTAGCATCTGGCTGCTGCTAAACAAACATTTGGCGGTTTGAACCTAGCAGACAGTCCATGGGAGAAAGATGAGGCAGTCTGCTTCCGTAAAGATTTAGAGCTTTGAAAGTCCTATGGGGCAGCTCTACCCTGTCCCATAGGGTCCCTGTAAGTCAGAATTGACTCAATGGCAGTGGGTTTGGGCTTTTGGAATGCCTCAGGCCAGCAGCTCTTGGAAGTCAGCATTTACGCATAGTGCTTCAGGCAGATGGCCAAGCTCCATCCCCCTGGAAAAGCTACCAAGGGCAGAATCAACTGCTTCTCAACCATTTCTGCAAGGGGGTCTTGATAGAGCAAGAGTGAGACTGAGGTCTGGCTGGGGCGCCCCACTTCAGGAGGGCAGGGATGCCTGAGGCATCTGTCAGGGGCACAGGGGTCTCCACTAGGCGCGGCAGGCAGGGCGGCCAGGAAAAGCAGCTGAAGGCGTGCAGGTTGTCATTCACCTGGCAGATGCACAACTCACAGGGATCACCAGGCGACCAGATCTGTCCAATCGGAAATTCAACCCCGTTGTCGTCGAGAGAGCAGCCTGGCCAGGGGACAGTGAGAGGGAGAGTGGGCAGAGGGTCGAGGAGGACCCTGAATGCTCACTGGACCTCCAGCACAACCCACCAGGGGGCACACACACACCTCTGCGCCCGCACGCTGTGTGGCCAGCCCCCGGGGTGCACACACAACCACCTGCTGGAACCAGGAGCCCCCCTACAGATGCCTGCCCCACTATCTTGTTTAGTGAAGTTTATCTCCAAACATGCACCTAGTATACACAGACAAACTCATACAAACATGCATTTCACACACTTACAGACATACACATTTACCACTCATACACACAATTCACACAAATCCATACTCACGTACTCAGTTACATGACAAACACACACAAAACTCACACATAGACATAACTCCCACACACACCCCACACTTGCACTTACACCTCACACAAACACATACACACACACAAATACACACCAGCACAACTTACACAATTATATGCACAGACACACAGAAACAACTCTCACACATACTTACACACATTTACACTTAACACACACATCTAACACATACAGACTCTCACACACACACAAACACACACTCATGGACACAACTCACACAATTACATGCACGAACACACACAGATACAGACCCAACTCACACACATACTTACAGATACAGACTTACACTTATCACACACACAACTCACATGCACACTTATAAACTCATACACACACACAAATACACACTCACATACTGTGGTGGTTCAGTTTGTGTGTCAACTTGGCAGGGCCTGGTTGAGCGGCTGGGCAGCTGGGTGTAGTATTCCCCATGATGAGAGCGGTAATCAACTCCATGGTGGAATCTACTGTGAGCAGCTAAGTAGCTGCTTTGGGTACGTGGTCTGCTTCCCATATATAAGAAGCAGCTTTGGGAATGGTCTCTAACTTATGGCACCCTCGGACCCTGCATGTAGCCATGTCGTTCAGCAGCCTGCCATGCTCTGCTGACCTTGGGACTTAGAATGAACTTGAATTAATGGCCTGCCGTGTGATTTGGTAACATCAGGACTGTGCCTTTTTACTTGTCAACCTTGGGTTTGTCAGCCTCAGCAGCCAGCAGCTGTCTGAGTGAAGAAAAGCCTCCAGCTTCAGTGGGCCAGGAGCAGGAGGCAGAGCTGAAGCCCAAGGTCGAGGGGCTTTCACCCAGCCCCTAGAACCTGGCATTTGAACTGGGTCTTAAATCCTAGAAACTGTAAGAGAATAAACAAACTCCCGTTTGTTAAAGCCATCCTACTTGTGGTATCTTCTGTTAGAGTGGCACTAGGTAACCAAAACACACGTATACACAGATACAATTCCCACAGACACAAACATGTACACACACTCCCACAGACACAACTTGCAGTCTTAGCAGATGAAGCTCAGCCACCCTCCTCAGGCGTCCAACACCTGTGCTGGGTGCAGCTGCAGGATGCAGGGCTGGGCAGCCCTCACCTGTCATGGGCGTGGGCTCCCGGCAGGTGAAGCAGCACTGTCCAGGGCCCAACCACCACTCCTCTCGGGGGCAATCCAGCTCTGGACATGGCGTGAAGGAACATTCTACCTCCCCATTCTGTAAGAGAGCCACGGGGCAGGGGACAGTCAGCTGGGCGGCTCCCATCCCCAGGCCATCTGAAGGCTAAAGAGGAAGCTACTAGCCTACTAGGCCACCAGCCCTCACAAACATCTCCAGGAAGCAGGAGGGGGAGGGAAGGCTGAGTCCCTCACTGGTGAGTGAGGCTGGGCCGGGTGACCCACCAGTTTGCAGGGTGTTGGGCTGGGTATCCCAGCCCTGCCCTGGCTCATGATAGCAGCAGCTCTGTCCAGGCTCCCAGCTTCCATGGCTTTTCACCCCCTCTCACTGCAGCCAGAGAACCTGCTTGAACCCCAATCCCATCACATCACCCACATCTCAGCACCCTCTGCAAAGTCCAGACTCCCAGGCCTGGCTCAAAATGCCCTTCATGACTGAGGCCCCAACAGACCTTCCCTAAAGTGCTGCCCTTGGCCAGTGGGCACCATCTCCTCCAAAGATGCCTAGAGGAGCACAGGCCACAACCGACCAATGCTAGGGGTATAACAGGCCCTGCCTCTGGACAGACTATCTCTGGGTATGGTTCCTGCTCCAGAGCTCCCCAAGCATCAGCCTGGGGCTGGGCTTCTCAGGACACCACAGCTTTGTTGGCTTCCGCCTCCACCCTCCCTCGTTCTCCTGAGCAGATCCTTTGCACTGAGAATCCCATCCCAGGTGCTGCCCTGGGGGAACTCAGGCCACGACACGGGCTCTTCCTCCAGCCTCCTCTCTCATCCAACTCCTCTTTCTCACATCGTATCCCAGCCAGGACAGACGCTTCAGTTCTTAGAGCCTGCCATGCACTTGCTCACCACCTGCCCTTGGCTCATGCCGAGCCCTCTGCCAGGCACACCTCCCTCAGCCCTCAGGGCCTGACTGGACCTAGGCTTCCTTCCGGCTTCGACTTGGCATCTCTTCCTCCAAGGCTTTCCTGAAGCCTACAGTCTGATGAGGAGCCCTGGTTGCCTGTCCATCACCCACCTAAGCAGGGAGTGCCTCGATATAGAGGACAGGCGCTGTGACCTGAGCACAGTTCAGATACAGTCACAGTTCTAGAAACGGTGGTGCTGAAGGGTGGCCTTCAAGGAGTCGTGGGACGGTCCCTTTAGTATCTGTGCTGCCTCCGTCTCCCTCTCACTGTGCGCCAGCTTCTCTTCTCCCAGTCAAGGTGTCCTGGGTAAAGTCCTGAGACCCTACCCCCTCCTTGCCCCCCACTAATTCCAGAAGGGCCCAGAGCCTCAGCTCTCCTACCTGGCAGACACAGCTGGTGCAGTCGTCGCCACCCCCACTGAACACAGCGCCGTCCGCATACCACTGGCCGTGGAAGTAGCACCTCACTGCGGAGGACAGAGAGAAGCTCAAGGTCTGTGGGCTGGGGCAGCCAGAGAAAGGGTGGGACATGTTGGGAGGCTGTGAGCAGCTAACATACCCCCACAGCACTCCACAGCCTGACCCACCTCCAAAAACCCCCATCACTTCCTCTCTCCAAACCTTAGAGCCCAATATGTTGTTGTTGTTATTTGCCGTCGAGTCGGCCCCGACTCATAGCGACCCCTCCTTGGGTTTCCGAGGCAGTATCACTATGGAAGTAGGATTGCCCAACCTTCCTTCTGAGCCCAATGTAGTTTTTACTATTTAAAAACTGACAGGAAAATGAATCGCAGGTGAAATAAGGTCTGCCATGGGTTGATTAAGGAGCCCTAGTGATGCACTGGGAGTTCTGGTGGCGGAGTGCCTAAGACATCTAACTGCTAACGAGAAGGCCAGTGATACACTGGTTAAAGCACTCAGTGGCCAACCAAGAAGTCAGTGGTTCAAACCTACCAGCTGTTCGGTCGGGGAAAGACGCAGCAGTCCATTTCTGTAAAGATTTACAGACTTGAAAACTCTACGGAGCAGTTCCTTTCTGAACTATAGAGCCTCTATAGTCAGAATCGACTCAACGGCGGGGGGTTTGGTGTTTTGGTTTTTATGGGTTGAACTGTGTCCCCAAAAGACACAAGTTGAGGTCCCAGAGTCTGGTACCTGTGAATGTGACTCTGTTTGGAAATGGGGTCTTTGAAGATGCTACTGGGTAATGTGAGGTCATACTCATGTTACTGGAGTAGAAGGATCCATAATCCAATATGAGTGCTGTCCTCATCAAAAGAGGACAGACAAAGCCACAGGGGGAGAAGGAGGCAGCCATGTGAAAACAGAGGCAGAGATGGGACTGACGCGGCCACAAGTCAAGGAGCGCCAGCAACCCCCAGGTGCTGGAAGACAAGGCAGGCTCCTCCTCTAGAGCCCTCAGGGAGAGCATGGCCCGCCTGACACCTTGATTGCAGACTTCTGCCCCCAGACTGTGAGACAGAAAATGTCTGCTGTTTTAAGCACCCAGTTTGTGGTATCTTGTTATGGCAGCCCCAGGAAACTGACAGAAATTCCTTATCCAAAAAGGCAGGGATGCCCTGACACCCAAAGAGTAAAAGAAAGGACGCATACCCGAGACACCTAAGGCAAAGAAAGACCCGTGCCACTCCCTGGAGCTACAAGGATCAAATGAGAAAGCCCAAGATCTAAAGACCAACCCAATGGTCAAAACCACCTAAAAGCCAGCGCCATGCCCACTCGCAGTCAGGGAGCACACAGGAGTGCTTTAGTCAGACCACTCTGAGTTCAAATCCCAGATATGCAACTAGGGCATGACTTTGGGAAAGATTCTTAAACTCTCTACACCTCAGTTTTCTTATCTGTATAATTGATTTGATCACCGTACCTACATTTAAAGACTATGTTGCCCGTTCAAAAATTTTAAAAAATTAAAAATAATTTAACATCTGAGAGGATTCCCCAAGACTAACACCCTAAGGTATTTCATAAACCTTGAACCAAAACTAACCCTCAAAGTCACCCTTCAGCTAGATAATAGATTGCCTCATAAAATAAAGAATATGATCAGTGAATACTGTGCATCTTTAAAAACTCATCTAAAAAAAAAAATCTGTATGAGACCAAAGGGTCAACAATTACTCTAAAGCAAAAGTGGAAGGGTAAGAAAACAGGGAAACTAGACAACTGGAAGCCAAACAACCAGAAGACAATCATGAGGATGTTGATAGACTGGAAAACACCACCAATGTCGCTGAACAATTTGTGGAGTAATAGTTAAACAGGAACCTAATTTGCTGTGTACCCTTTCACTAAAACACAATAAAATATTATTTTTAAAAATAGTAATAACATGGATGAACCTAGAGGACATTAGGCTGAGGAAAATCAGTCAGTTCCAGAAAGACAAATATTGTATGAAACCACTACTTAAAATGTCAAGAAAAGGTTTACACATAGAAAGAAACATTCTTTGAAGGTTACCAGGGTGGGAGGGACAAACCAAACCCAAACTCACTGCCATCGAGTCGATTCTGACTCACAGCGACCCCCACTGGGTTCCTGAGGCTGTAAATCTTCACGGAAGTAGATCGCCCCATCTTCCCCCCACGGAGCAGCTGGTGGGTTTGAACCACTGACTTTCTGGTTAGCAGCCAAGTGCCTTATCCACTACACCACCAAATCACTAACTGAGTGTAGACATGTGTTAACTTGAGTGACGGGAAAGGCCATATACAATAAGGGCGAGGTCAGCACACACTGATCAAGGCAGACGAAGACGTTGGGAGCAGTCGGAGTTAAAGCAACCAAGGAGAATACTATTACGTACACAACCCTGCAAAGCAGTGACAACAATCTACGAGCGGATACAGAGACTCAAGTTGAACTGGCGTGGGAAGGGGAAGGGGACTACACCCACAAATATATAGAGGTTTGACACAGGATAGCTCTACCTACGTATTGATACACCAAGAAAACCAAATGCACTGCCGTCGAGATGGATCCGACTCATACCGACCCTTCCTTGGGTTTCTGAGGCAATTATCACTACAGAAGTAGATTGACCAACCTTCCTTCTGAGGAGTGGCTGGTGGGTTTGAACTGCCAGCCTTCTGGTTAGCAGTCAAATGCTTTAGGCACTATGCCACCAGAGCTGCTAATACATCCATGACTATAGTGGCATACAGGGGGCAAAGTTATGAAAACTTCTTAGCCATAACCAAACACCTTGAGGAAATGAGTTGCTGGGCCTGGCAGCTCAGGATCACAGTCTTGGGGGGCATCAAGGTCAACTGGCATAACACAGTCCACAAAGATAATGCTCTAAATCCTATTTTGGTGAGTAGGGACTGGGGTCTTAAAAGCTTATGGGTGGCCCTCTAAGGTGAAACTACTGATCTCTCCTTGTCCAGAGCAAAGAAGTGTGAAGAAAATCAAAGACGCAAGGAAACAATTAGTCCAAAGGACTAAGGACCCACATGAACCCCAACCTCCATGACCCTGGGACCAGAAGAATTAGATAGCGCTTGGCCACTAACCCCGACCACTCTGAAAGGATCACAGTAGGAGGTCCTGGATAGAGTGCAGGCAAACGTGACACAGAACTCACTCATAACAAAGATCAGGCTTACTCTGTCTGGTCTGACAGAGGCTGGTGGAACCCCACAACTTTTGCCCTTTAGTCATGCTTCAGGCCTGGAACTGAGCTCACCCCCATGGCCCAACTTTCAGCCAAACAACAGCCAGGCCTATATGGTGAACAATAACACCAGGAAGTAAGCCCTCCTTAGAACATCCAACCATCCGAGATCAAAAGGACAGCGTTTGCCCAGGGACAAAGCTCAGAAGGCAGGAAGGGACAGGAAAGATCAAAGGGAAATGCAACCACAGGAAGGAAGTGGGAAGAGCCTATTACACTGTGGGGATCTAATGAATGCCATAAAAAAGCATGCCTACGAATTGTTGAATAGAAAACCAATTTGCTTTGTAAACATTCACCCAAATCACGATAAAAAGTTTTAAAAGTAATATAACATCTAAAAGTTTAAAAATACACTTATTTAAAAAGGACACCAGCTACAGAGCCATAAAGAGAAATGAAACGCTGATGCATGCCACAACATGAGTGACCTTGAAAACACTGAGTGAAAGCAGTCACCAAAGGGCAGATACCAACTGTATATTGTTGTGTTGTTACATGCCGTCACTCATAGTGACCCCTCCTTAGGTTTCCAAGGCAGTATCACTACAGAAGTAGATTGCCCAACCTTCCTTACGAGGAGTGGCTGGTGGATTTGAACTGCCAGACTTGTGGTTAGCAGTTAAGTGCCTTAGCCACTATGCTACCAGAGCTCTCGGATACTGTATAATCTCACTTGTATGAAACAGGCAAACATAGATAGAGAAACCAGGCTTGAATGGGTGAAAGGGGGAGGGGAAGAGGGAGTTATTGTTTGGGATGCACTGAGTTAATGTTAATGGTGGTGGAGGACACCAGAAAAGGACAGTAGCAACGGTGGCAAGACATGAGAAACGTGCCCAATGTCACTTGTCAACGTGGAAGCTGTCGTGTTGACAATGGTTTTGGAGTGTGTGTTTTCACCACAATGAAAGAAGAACATCATGAGCTTGGAAATGAGAGAGCACCGAGTTCAAGTTCTGCTCCATTAGGACCTGGTAGTATGTCTGTGGGCCAGTGACTTGACATCTCGGAGCCTCAATTTCGTCATCAATACTATGGGGCAATGAATTGCACTCCCTTAGAGAAGAGTTTAAACAAGGATTAATGGTTAGACAAGATCAAGTGCTGGGAAGTGGATGGCACAGTAGCCATGGGGCAGAGAAGTTAGCGGACGTTCCGATGGTGACGTGGTCCCAGGAAAGCTGACCTAGTTTTCTAACAAAGGACTGACTCATCAGTGAGGGAGGGACCGATTCCCCGCCTAAAGTCAGAGCCAGGCTGCAGCCGGACTCAGAGCCCTTGCCGCCTGCACGAAAGGGCAGAGGGCACACGGAGCTGTGAGCAGTCCAGCACCCAAACCACTGAGCACACAGTAGGTGCTCAGTAACAATGGGCAATTTGAAATATTTAACTTGCTCTGAGTTTCTAAAGCAGGAATCCATCTCCTTCCCTTCTCCTCCACTCGCCTCGCCCCTAACACACACCAGAAAGCCCTCCCAGTTACCCCCCACACACACACACATAAGCAAAATGCTCAAGGGGACCTCTCACCTGGAACACAGGTACAGCAGTCAGACTGCGGGGAGCCGTGGCAGGGGCCAGGAGGACACTTGGGGGCGATGCAGGACACGTTTCCAGCCTAGGAGAAGGCAAGAGATGGTGCTGGTGGTGGAGAGGGGAGGGGAGGGGAGCAGGCAGTACAACAGGGCTCTTCCCACCTTCAGGCTCATAAGCAGCAGCTCGGGGGTCTGTTTCACACCAGGCCCAAGGGTTCCAGTCCAAAATGACGGCTGCCTATGAGAAGCCATCCAAGACCCTTACTGGTCACTGTGGTCATGAGGCTGGGCGGCATGGACCCACTTCGGAACAGCGCCCTGTCTGAGGGGCGGGGCCGGGCAGAGTAGCATGCTGCCTCCTCCGTGAGCCTGAGCCTTCCACAGCGTTGGTATCCGAGAGGATGTGCTGAGCCCTGAGCGGCTGCTGAGCCCCGAGAGCAGAGGCTGGCAGAGAGAGGGACTTTCACCCTTCCTGCCTGAGCATCTGAGTTCTGAACCAGGGGCTAAATTGGCAAGTCAAAGATCTCACCTAAAAAACCCCATGTGTAAAATCTGAAGTTAATAGAGGACCTTATGCTGAGTGAAGTAAGCCAATCACAGAAGGGCAAATATTGTATTAGTTCATTATTGTAAAAAGTCAAGGAAAGGTTTATACATGGAAGGAAACTTTCTTTATTGGTTATCAGGGGTGAGAGGGAAGGGGAGGAAACATTGCAAAAATTCAAAAAAAAAAAAAAATTGAAGTTAAAACATAAAAATAATAAAAAGAGAGCACTGGTTTTGGAGTCACCAGACCTGAGTCCAATGTCTGGTCCTCCAGTGACGAGCTGTGTGACTTTAGGCAAAGTAATCAGATTCAGATCTCGGAGCCGCAGTTTTCCTGTCCATGAGATGGGGTGGGAAATGGTGCCTCTCTGAGGGTGGGGGGTTGCTGAGAGCGCCAGGCCACTGCACTGCCCGCCCCCCCATCTTACACCACAGCTTCCACCATGGCTGCTTGACCAAGAGCCGAAGTCACAGATGGTTAGAGGGTGGCAGCAGGGACTGGCTGACAGAGCCTGGGCTCTGGACTCCACAGACTTGGCTCAAATCCCAGCTCTGCCACCTCTGAGCCTCAGCAACAGTGACTTGAAGAGCTGCCGGGAGCCCGAGGGGCAGAAAAAACCAAACTCACTGCCTTCGAGTTGAATCTAACTCATAGCGACCCCTCCTTTGGAGGTGGTATTACTATGGATGTTGATTGTCCAATCTTCCTTCCAAGGAGTGGCTGGCTTTGAACCGCCAACCTTCTGGTTAGCAGTCAAATGTCTTAGACACTCTGCCACTAGAGCTCCTCCCGAGGGGCAGAGGCAGGGGAATAGGCATGCCTGGCATACAGTGGGTACTCAGAACAGAACACACGTGACTGCAACATCTGCATATGCTATTGCTGTCAGCTGCCATCCGGTCAGCCTGGCTCTCGGGGACCCCGTGCACGATGCAACAAAACATTGCCGACCGAGTCCTGCACCCTCCCCACAACTGGTTGCCTACAGGACCCCTGTGATCCACGGGGCTTTCACCGGTGATTTTCAAGCAGGAGGTCGCCAGGCCATTCTTCCTGGTCTGTCTGAGTCTGGAAGCTCCACTGAATCCCGTTGAGCATCATAGCACCCCACAAGCCTCCACTGATGGATGGGTGGTAGCTGCCCGTGAGGTGCACTGGCTGGGAACTGAACCCGGGTGTCCAGCATGGAAGGGGAGACTTCCGCCACTGAGCCACCAACGCCCTAGTTCTGTACACTGCTGTTGATAAGTGTCATCGAGTTAGTGCCAACTCATAGAGGCCCACGCACAACAGAACAATACACTGCCCAGCCCTGCACTGTCCTTAAATCGTGGCTGTGCTCGCGACCATCACTGCAGCTACTGCCTCAATCCACCTCATGGAGGTCTTCCTCTTTTTTGGTGACTCTCTACTTTCCCAAGCCTGACATCCTTCCCCAGGGCCTGGATAACATGACCAAAGTAAGAGTGAGGAAGTCTGGCCATTCTTGTTTCTAAGGGGCATTCGGTTGTACTTCTTCCAAGACACAGAGTAGGCACTTAATAACCAGCCTTGGAGGAGTGTGTCTGCCTAAAGCAACCCCCTCTGATCCAGTGAGTTTGGTAATGAGCTGCCTCCCTCCCGCATGTGGATACCTTTATTGTCCTGGCAAATATTTTGCCTGAAGAGAAAAACAGCCTCCCTGGTGGGCAGTTTCTGAGGGATCTCATCCCCTTCTCTCCCTCAACACATGGACCCTGTTTGTCTGTTTGCTTTTTTCCACTCAGCAGATTCTTCCCTGATGCTCCAAAGATCTAGAGGTTTGACATTTCCCACCCTCAGACTCAAAAGGTTCTGACCAAAGTCCACAACTCGAGAGCCCGCCTGCGTTCACCAAGCTCACCTTTCATCTCCGCTCGTTTGTCCTTTGCCTAAAACCCCCAAAGGTTAAGAAAACACCCCAGAGGCTCTGGGGATCCTGGAATGCTTACCAGACAGACACAGACAGTGCAGTTCTCACTGGGAGGGGAAAACACCTCGCCTTCTGCTCGGATGACGCCACTGTGAAAACAGCCTTTGAAAGAAACAGGAGATGGGGGCCTCAGGCTCTTCAAAGCAGAGGAAGCCTGAGGGCTCATGACTCTCACGCCTGGAACCTTGTCCCCTTGTCCCAGCTGCCCAGCAGTGGTGGACTTGGAGCCCTTGAATTGAATGGTCCTAGGATCCCAGGGGAGCCACCCAGAAGACATCTGCAAAGGGTCAACCACGGTGGCCCAGGGCGGTGGTCTTCCTGTCTGGTGAACCCAGAACTGTCTCAGAAGCACAGCATGTTAGCCCGGTAAGACTGCATGGTGCTGCATAAAGACTGGGCAGCCCTGGGCCGACTCCTCCCCGTCCTTCCTGGCTCAGGCCAGATGGGTTTTCCTGGCCACCCTGAAGGTGAGTCCATGCTTCATTCTCTCTTCCATCCACTGCCCTCATAATATTTACAGACAGACAGTGCTTGCCTGTCTGCATCTATATCAGCCATTTCTCCCATGGACCGTGTCTATCTCATTGATGGGTGATCAGTGAGCACCTGGGACAGAGAATTCAGTGATGCTTCAAATCTAGTCATGGCAGGGAGGCTGGGACCTGGTGTCTCTGGAATCTGTCAGTTCCTGCCTATCTTGCAGGTCACTGTCCTCTCTTCCCTGGACCACTGCCACAGCCTCACTGGCCTTCTGGCCTCTGGTCTACATCTACAATCCAAGGTGAGCCTTCAAAAGACCAGCCAGGACGTCTCGTGGCCCTCCATGGCCTGCAGGCCCTCTTGGCAGCTGGCGTCA